ACACTTGCTATTTTCATCTTATCCGTAAGAGCTAGTCTAAAATTATTTCCTATTTTCTTAACCTCGCCATTCTTATCAACGGCATCACTACTGCCTTACTTTGTTGTGAAAATCTTAAAGTCGGTGTTGCTCTTCTTATTCTTTTTCAGCCACCATCATAAAGGCTGCCCATTTTGTAACTGAGATTTTTTTTTTTTTAAATGTATACTGCTGACCTCAACTAGGACCTTTTCTTTAATCTGTTGGTTTGAGAGAGAGAGAGATAAACATTGATTTGTTGTTCCACTTATTTATGCATTCATTGGTTGAGTCTTGTATGTGCCCTGACCGGGGATTGAACCGCAACCTTGGCATATCTGGACGATGCTCTAACCAGCTGAGCTATTTGGCCAGGACTCTAATGTCAGTGTTTAAATATAATTCTTCTCACTTATTCTAGGCCCACAAACATCAAATCATAAAGTCTTTTCAATAGACCAACCAATATCCTCTCTGTAGTCTTTCATTCTACACTGCTATTAAAATAATATTTTTAGTCCAGCCAGTGTGGTTCAGTGGATTAAGTCCTCCTATGGACTGAGAAGTCCTGGTTTGATTCCGGTCAGGGCACATGCCCGGGTTGCAGGCTCAATCCCCAGTGCAGGGCATGCAGGAGGCAGCCCATCAATGTTTCTCGCTCACATCAATGTTTCTGTCTCTCTCTCCCATCCTCTCTCTCTAAAAAACAATACAAAACAAAAAAACATACTTTAAAAAATATTTTATATGCTGATTTTACCTGTGATGCTGCTGCTCAAGAACAGTGCTATTTTATTTTGAACCGAAACACAAGTCTCTTGTTTGTCCTTTGAGGCCTCCACAAATCAGCATTCGTCCACTACCCTTAGTTTCACTTCTCATTTTCTAGCGAAGCAGATTTCATTGGTTTGTTCTCACTTCCTTTGTGCTTTATGCTTCTCTTATTTAGAATTCCCTCCCCCTGCCCTTTCTCTTCACTCCATACTCTCTTCCTATTGAGAATCCAGTTCCCACTCTTCCAATGAGGACTCACTGCATCATTCAACGTTTGTTTTTACTGTGACCACCATACTGAATTTGCCCTAACTCGTATGTTTCTTTCCCAGGCATTATTTCAAGTTGATAAAATGTATGTACCCTCCAGGTTTTTTTATATATATATATATATAAACTTGGAATGTTCTTATACTTTGTATGGCCCATTTCAAAGCTCAGAACTGTGCTCAACTGACTTAAATATAAGTAAAGTGAGAGACTGAAACTCCTGCTCATATTTGCAGTTATTAGTAACCGTCGTTTAGGTTTGTGGGGAAAAGTATGTCATTTACTGTCTAAGAGAGGTTTGGATATTCATAAACACTAGCCCATACCAATTGTTTTTTTTCATTCTGTGCCATTACTGTTTAGAAGTATTGTCCCTTATTGTGACTTTATCTTTCAAGACACAATTTATTACTCAATAAATCTGAAACCACGAAATAAGTGTGTAATTATACACGTATCCATATATCTTCTCTTTAACGTGGGCCCAAACCTAAAGGAAACTCCATTAAGGCCATAAACAGAAAAAAATTACCTCGACTTGGATCGGTATTTCCACAGCTCCCTGAAATAAAATAGAGCCTGTTTGTTCTTAATATTTTTTTTTTTTTATGATTTAGTGATATCCTATAGAGAACTATATTTTAATTTCAGAAACAGAGAGAACAACAAATGTGGTAGAAGGCCCTGGCATGAGAAATGCGTTAGAGAGAATCAGTAAAACTAAAAACATACAGTGCCAGGCTTGCAAGGCAGAGCCAGTACTAAGAAAGGAGCAGAAAGCATTAGTGGGAACCAGTCTTATTTAATCCTGGTACTGGGGACAAAGGTATGTTACTTTTTTTACTTTTTCTTTTTTCTTTTTATTAATTTATTTTTGTTACAGATGTTTCTCTTTTTTCCCCCATTGATACCCTCCTCCCCATCCTCCCTCATCCCCAGCTTTGTTGTCTGTGTCCATGGGTTATGCATACATGTATATAAGTTCTGTGGTTTATCAACACCCCCTCTTCTAAGGATTGTCAGTCTGTACCCTACCTCTATGACTCTGGGTCTATTTTGTTCATCAGCTTGTTTAGTTCATTATGTTCCAGAAATAAGTGAGGTCATGTGATATTTGTCTTTCTCTGCTTGGCTTATTTCGCTTAGGATGACACTTTCCAGGTCCCTCCATGTTGTCTCAAAGGACAAGAGATCTTTCTTTCTTACAGCTGCATAGTACTCCATTGTGTATATGTACCGCTGCTTTTTTGTCCATTCGTCTACTGATGGACACTTGGGCTGTTTCCAGATCTTAGTTATTGTAAATAGTGCTGCTATGAACATAGGGGTACATATATTCTTTCTGATTGGTGTTTCAGGCTTCTTAGGGTATATTCCTAGCAGTGGGATCACTGAGTCAAATGGAAGTTCAATTTTTAATTTTTTGAGGTAACACCATATTGTTTTCCATAGTGGCTGCACCAGTCTGCATTCCCACCAGCAGTGTACTAGGGTCCTTTTTACTCCACACCCTCGCCAGCACTTGTTGTTTGATGTTTTTACTTCTTATGAATAATTGATTTTGTTAAAACAGCATCTTCATCATCATATCATTTAAAATTACATTTGAAGTTCTATCAACACCGATCTTCATATTCTTATGATTAAATTTGTACTTGTCCACAATTATTGTCTATGAAGCCAAAACTTAAAATGCTCTAAAACTATTTTCTATCACTCTTCTGATGGTAGAATATTGCTTGATCTGAACTAGTTTGGTGGTGAAACTTTACCTGAATCGACATAAAATTATTTACAGTTTTTTTATCCTATTTAAAGTGAAAATTCATATACTTTGCTGCTCAAACAATATGTTTGCATACAAGAAAAAGTTCTAGACCCCTTGGGTGTGTGATATAACATATTATATGAATCCTATTACCTGTCTAAAATTCAAAATTTTCTGAATTTAGAAACATAACCAGCCCCAAATCTTTAGGTTTAGTGATTGCAGACCTGAATGCATTTTCTCCTTTAATTTTATCAGGAAGATGTTCTAACTTATGTACTATTGTCTCTTTAAAACCTTGAAGTTTCTTATGTCTCTACCAAGTAGCTAAGTTAGGTTTAAAAAAAAATAATTCTGGATACAAATTATGCAAAGGGACTTAAAATACTGTAAAACACACTAAAATGTCAAGGGGCACAATTCAGAATCCAAGAATGTGACTAGTTTTCCATATTTTATTCTTTAACTTCCATATGAGTGTGCTGAATAAAAAGAAATATGTGTATCTACATGTACATATACATTTACACACATATATACTATGTACACATGTTTCTATTTTATCAATGGAATGGCAAACTTGGAAAACAGAATCAGAGCTATTGAATGTAAATGGTGTTTGTCCCTGTATCACGCCTTACTTTCAATATAAATCATAATAGTCATTCAAATAAAAGATGTTTATTGTTGTACTTGTAACCACACTCATACACACACAATCTCCACCCAACATACTCTATTGGCCATATAATTTTCCTAGTGTGACCATAGAAAATTAGTACTTTTTTTCCCCTTACCATTTGCTACAGCATGGATGGACCTAGAGGATAGTATGCTGAGTGAAATAAGTCAGTCGGAGAAAGACAAATACCATATGATCTCACTTATATGTGGAATCTAAAGAACAATATAAATGAACAAAAAAAACCCCAGAAAATTAGTACTTTTCAGTATTTTATCCAGTGGAATGGTTGCAGTGAAGTTGGTGTTGGCTCCCAATGTATTGCGCCAGCTTCTTGAGAGGATACATCTTGGGCGATGACTGTTGAACTGAATAATTCCAAGGGGACCTGAGTCGTACACAAAGCACTGAATGTGTTGAGAGGAGAGTACATGAAGCATAGGTTCTGTTCTGAGCGCTGGACTAGGCCTCACTCCCAGGAGGCTCTCCTTGACCTCTTTAGGGAGACAAGCTGCCCACTGCTGTTACAAATCAGGGCAAGGCACAGGATTTGAACAGTCAATCCACACTTCCTGAGGGTCTACCTGTGCCAAATCTGAAGCAGACCCTGGGAGCTGTTACAAAGTTACGAGCAGGCAGAAGAAAGAGCCTTTCTCTGCAAGAACTCACAGTGTGAGCAGGGACACCGGGAAACCACAAACTAGAGGACTTGTCCAAAGCTTATCAATAAAGGAGCACTTGACAATGTTATTAATACGCATTGTGAAAGTCAAATTTAAAAACATTTTCAGAAGAAAAAGGGTAAGCCCTAGGCTTGCTGAAAACGTTTTTGTTTTTGTTTTGTCACCTTTACCAGAACCATGTTTTTATGTATGGGGTATGATTTACAGAATGTGCTTTGTGTAAAAGTGAAGATGCCACGGAACACAGGTGAATTCCCATCTATAAGAGGGTGCCAGCTGAAAGATGAAGGGATGAAATGTGGTAAATGAGAGATTGGTTCTGCATGCTGGCAGTTCTTAAAGCATTGTGCTGATTGTACAAAGGCCATCATTTTAGAGCATAGGAATCCTGTTTAACAACAGAATGTCAGAATTTTTATATTGCTTTGCCATGATAAAAAAGGGTTTAATGATTTCTTTTTCCAAAAGTCTGTGGTCCTTGGGAATGAAACGCAGAGGACAGGTCATGCTTCATCATGAACGGCAGCACCATTCTCTGGAGAAAATCTCAAGCTCTTCTAACTGAAAACCCGTGTTTCTGATTTAAGTATGAGACGCTAATTACTCATACAGCCAGGGAGAATTTCAAGTCCCTGCCTATTTGCAGCACTATCTAAAAACAATCAACTCGTCTTTCAAATTTGACCAAGCTACAAATGGTATGAGAACTCAGTTGTCTAATAAGGATGTTCATTTTGGCACTCAGCAGCTTACTCATGGCTCACAGATGGCTTCTGTCTCGTTTTGTATAATCCAATCATCCTGCACTATTGAATCTCACGCTTAGTCTTCAAGAGTAATTGAAAAGCTCACAGTGACAATGGTCTCTTCTTCCAGATGTCATCCATATAAGGAGCGTGGCTTTCACCACCTCGTTGACATAGGATGTGTACATGGCTCTCCAGGTCAGAGTTGCTCCAAGCAAGGTAAAGAGAAAGTACTTCTTTGCATTCTTTTTCTGTTACTGCCTAGCACTGGTGTAAGCAAATATGTTCTATAAATGGCCATTCTTTCCGTAGCAACTTGTTTCCCTTTTGGCTGGGTACCATGCAAAACACATTTTGCAATACTCTTGCTCGTATGGTAATGGTGGCAATATAGAGGCACCCATACCCAAGAAAGGATTATAAAACATTTAAACAGTGGCTGTTTAAAGGTACCATGTTACACACAGGCAGACTTTCTAGTATTAACACCTGTACTTCTGCTCTTGTTTGCTGAAATCATGACAGTTTGTCCTCATTATTTTTTTGGCAGGAGGTGGCTTTTATTTTTCCAACTTCTAAAGGATGCACAAGATTTTAGAGGCAAAGTATTGAAACATTTTAAGCTGTAGGTGTGCTAGTTTCTTTTTCCCTCGAGGCTAGTGCTATAATAGTTGTATTTTATTTCAGTATAAAAATACCCCTTTTAAAAGAAAAATCAAAACCCCTAAAACAAGGAAAATCAAGGCAATATGCAAAGCCTTAAAGCAGCCCGGTAAATTCACACAGGCTTTGGACTTATAAAGATCGGGCCTTCAGGGAACGACACTCTGGAAAGTCAGATTTTTACTTAAAAATTAAATTATGATTTAAAATTAGTGCTACATTTATTTTAGTAAAATATCAGCATTGTGTGTATTTCCTCAAGTTTTCTCCTGTTCACTGCCATCATCACAACATCATCAGTAAGAAATGTTAAGTATGGAAACAGCTAAGACAAATGTTCTAAATCAGTGGAGACATTATTTCAGGGAAAATATTTTTTAAGAACTATTTTAAAGAAGATTTCAGACTGTTTATAATTTATGTATAGTGTTGGGATTGAACTAGCAATAATAACTTTACTGGAGAGATAATAATTAAAAGATAATATCTGTTTTCTTAAGTAGCTTACATAAAGAATGGGGACTGGGAACTCTATATTTAGTCTGGATTTACACACACACGCGCGCACACGCGCACACACACACTCCTTCTGGTGAAAATGTCCAGGTAAGTGCCGCAGTGTTTCACATTTTTAGAATCCCAGAGTTTTATATGTGAAAGCACAGCCTTAGAACACAAGACCAATAGTCAATATGTTAAAAATAGGTGAGTTGTTGAAAATCTGAATTCTTGTGATACAATCCTGTAAGTTACGAGTTAACTTTTCTTAAGTCCTGTTCAGTGTCAATATTATCAGCACAGGAATCACTGATATGCTCATAAATTAATAGTAATAGCAAAAGTGACCTTTTTCTAAAGAGAGTTCCAAGACTCAACAAATATTTATTGAGTGCACGCAATGTGCCAGGCATTGGGCTAATTAAATTCCCGCTATCCCTACATTTTAAATGAGAGAAAAGCTGACTCAAGGGAAAGAGTCATGGCCAAAGGCCATTTAATTAATTTGCTGTCTGGGGAAATTGCACATGAACTGGGAAGAAAGCCCAGGTATGAGGACTGCTACGTTGTTGTTCAGAATACAATGCATTGTTGTTCAGAACTCGAGTAGAATACACATTTTATAGCTACATCAAACTAATATAAAATTACAATTGTAAAACAAATGTTGCATGTAAAAACATCAGAGGCCCAAAACATTCCTGCATTTCCTAGCGACTGTTGACCTGAACTGGACATTTTCATCCACAAAGACACTTTCAGAGGAAACTACTGTGAGTAGGCTGGGTCCTGTGGTATGACACTACAGGTGAGAGAGCCCTGTTTCATGATTATGCTAGCGACTGCCCAAAGAACCAGGCAGCAGGCTTTCACATGGGGAGAAGGAGAGGGCAAGTTATCTGCTTAGGCGCATGTAGTACTTATGCTGGGAATTTTACATGTGTGCTGAAAACAAAACTCCTATGAGATTTTACAGATGAGTAGAACAAAATGCAGAGTGTATGTGGCCAATGTCACACCTTGCCAGTGAGGAACTGGAAAAGAAATCGTTGTGTAATCTGACCCTAAGGTCCACATTTTTAATGAATTGACTATGGTTCTCATTGAAGGGAGTTTTCATTATTTTCCTTCTCTTCATTCATTATCATTAAAAATGTATTTATGGAACCCTTACCAAGAGCTAAACACTGTGCTTGTGGCTGAAGAATTAAATGTGATTAAATCACTGTCTCTGTCTTTGAGGGTCTGGGGGAGTGGGCACCTCTACAAATAAGTACACTACAAAACAGGTGATCAACTCTGTAAGACATATGCACAATCCTGTGGACACAAAGAAGTAAAGAGGGATCGATTCTGCCCTTGAGTAAGGGGTGCAGTGTTACTGTGATTCTGTGCTAGACTTTGAAGAACGCACAGTATTCCCCCTGTAGAGAAGAGTAAAGCTGTTGCAGTTAATGGGAGCTTTCTGTTTTGTAAAATCACATAAGGGCTTCCAGGTTTCCGAGACTAAATGGAGGGGGTTATTATAAAAGAACCAGGCCCAGATTTCACAGGGGAATTCTCCTAAATCTGCCAAGGTCATATACTCCCAATGTTACTTAAATTATTTCTGAGTATAGAAAAAGAAGAAAAACCACAAGATACTGTTTTTCTATTAATTAATTTACTTTTGTTACAGATGTTTCTCCTTTTTCCCCCCAGACACCTTCCTCCCCATCCCTCTTGCTGCCACCCCTCCAGCACTGTTGTCTCTGTCCATTGGTTATACATACATGCATATATAAGTTCTTTGGTTTAGCTCATCACTCCCCCCCCTCCCAACATCCTCCTCTGAAGTTTGTCAGTCTGAACCATACTCCTTTCTATGTCTCTGCATCTATTTTGTTCATTATATTCCACAAATAAGTGAGATCATGTGGTATTTGTCTTTTTCAAGCTATGACATATATATACTTTTTTTAGCTTTTTAATTTTTTTTTTTGTAATTTTTCTTTATTGATTTTAGAGTGTGAGGAAAAAAGAAGGAGAGAGAGATTGAAACATTGATGAGAGAGAACATTGATTGGCCACCTCCTGCATATCCCACACTGGGCACTGGGCACACAACCTGGGCATGTGCCCTGACCAGAAATCGAACCAATGACCTCTTGGTGCATGGGTCATCACTCAACTACTGAGCCACACCGGCTGGGCCCACAAGATATTTTTATGAAACAATAATTACATTGTCATCTAAACTTTATAAAGACAGCACAAAAAAGAAACTACAGATCAAGCTCACTTATAAATATGGAAGTAAAAATGTAAATATAATATTATCAAACAGAATCCAAGAGAGTTTCATACAAACAAAACATCATGGCCAAGTGATATTTATTCCCAAAATATAAGGATGGTTCAATATTAGGTAATCTACTAACATATTTACCGTGTGTGTAAATCTAGGTAGAAGTATCTTCATAGAAGCTCAAATGGCCTTTGTCCGTATCTGACAACCATTCTTAGTTAAAACACTGAATAAAATAGAAACTGATTATTTCTTCTTTGGTATTAATATATGTCAATAACGGCACACATGCACAGTGGAGTTCTAAAGCCAGTATATTACTTAATAGAGAATGCTAGAGGCAGTCACAGTCCAAAAATAAGGCAAAGATACCCACTAACTCCGCTACTATTTCAAAATATATTAGAGGCACTAGTAATGCAATCAGACTAGCCTAAACACTAACTCCATAGGAACTGGAACAGAAGACTTGAAACTTTCAATTTACAGATGATATCTTGTCGTATTTGGAAAATCCAAGAGAATCATTGAAAATACTATCATAAAAAATACAGAAAATTGAATATTAATAGAATATTAAATTTTTTTAAATCTTAAGATTTTATATACACAAATAATAGCTAATTAGATGATGTAACAAAGGATAAAACTTTGGTTACTTTAATAGCAGAAAAGAATTTAAGAATACATTTAACAGAAAGTATGTAATGCCTACATAAGGAAAAATTGAAATATTTTTGAAAGATACAAAAGCACATTTGAATAAATTGGGAAATTTTGTTGTTTTTGGAGAGCATGAGTAAACATTACAAAGCTATACTTATTTTTATTTTAATCATAAATTTAGTATGATCCCAATAAAAATAACATAAAATTGTTTATGAAGCTATTCAAGTAGATTTTGAAGTGTATGTGGCAAAATAAACATAGAAATAACTAAGAGAACACTAAAACACAATGAGAAGTGAGTATATTAGACCTTACTATACAGCTTCCATAATTAAAACAGTGTGATATGTGTGCATCTAATGGTGGGGTGGGGGGAAAGGTGGCTAAAATGAGAAAATGTGGGTACAGTGCTTGGCACACAGAAATCCCTCAATGAGGAGTAAATATAGTTAGATGATCAACTACGTGGGGCAGGGTTGAGGAAATGCGACTGTAGGAGAGACAATGGACAGAGCTGTGCTATCTCATAAAGTGGCCATTAACCACACATGACTACTGAGCACTTGGAATGTGTCTGGTCTGAACTGAGATGTGTTTTAAATAAAATGTGCTCTGGTTTTCTAAGATATAATATGAACAAACAACAAAATATCTCAATAATTTTTAATATTTAATACGTGTTGATTTAATATGTTGTATATAGTAGGTTAAAAATGTCGTTAAAACTACTTTCACACGCTGGCCGATTTGGCTCAGCGGTTGAAGTGTTGGCCTATGGACCAGAGAGTCCCAGGTTCGGTTCCCACTAGGGGCACATACCAAAAACAAAAAACAAACTACTTTCACTCGTGTTTGTACTTTTAAGAATATGACTACTAAAATTTTTGAAATTATTTAAGTGGCTTGCATTATATTTCTATTAGGTAGCACTGGGCTAGATCATCAATTGTCTTTTCAATCATCAATACTTGATCTTGCTCCTCCTCCTGCTGTCAATATAGTCAAATTGGGAGATAAAATCGACTGCCCCCCCACTCCCTTAATACCCACAACTTGATGATCCTATTTCCTTACTAGCTCACACATCTGTTCTCTTCTTCATCTCTCCTACTGACCTAGTCCATTGCAAACCCATTTATTTTATTTTTACATTTTTATTGAGATATAGTCAACACAGAACACTGTGTAAGTTTAAGGTGCAGTGTGTTGACGTGATGTATCCATATACTGCAATATGATCACTGTGAGTTTTCTAAGCACGTAGCATAATCCTCTGTTTATATTTCAAAAGTACACTTTTATAACAAGTGAGTGCATTTAAGAATGAAAATGTTTAAATTTTAATATTAACATAGAAATAAGAATATTTTCATGTTTGTCTGACATATGTATTACATAATATGAGTATGGAGACTATGTATTATTTATCTCATGTAAACTTACAACCAGCACTAAATAAGTTCTAGAACTCTAGTGCCCAGTATAGTGAACATAGACAACAATACTGTATCATAATCATCAAATTTGCTAAGAGACTAGATCTTAATTATTCTAACCAGAAAACGAACGATCATTATGGGATGTGATAGAGGTGCTAACCTCACTACCATGGCAATCACATTACAGTATATAAATGTATTAAATAAAAATGCGTACCTTAAACTCACACAATGTTATATGTCAAATATATTTTGATGAAAAATACTAAAATACGGTTTTAAAAAAACAATGAGGATAGAAGGATACTAAGGGTCATGTGGGAGGAGAGACTATAGGGCAAGGAGTGGAAGATGCTGAAGGGCAAAGCAGGAATGAGATTGATGGGCACAGAGGGAAGAGACTTGGTGGGCAGAGTGGAGGCTACAGGCAAAGAGTAGAAGGGCTAAGGCTGTGGTGAGGAGGAGAAGGGACAGGAAGGTGTGGGATTCTGAAGGCCCCAGAACCTGGGATCCTGATTTCCCATGGCCCTCTGAGGGCTAAGAGCCCACCCGTTTTTAGACAGTTCAAAGAAGTAAGTTCTTGGTAATCTGTGAATTTGATCCCTTTAGCCAATTGGTTGTTGCGTGCTCTGCATTACCTCTCTTCTCTCCTAGCCTCTGTACCCAGGCCATGGAAAAGTGGTAAATTTGGCAAATACGTCATTCAGAGAAAATGAATAATTGTAAAGTGTTAAAGTAAGTGTTGGCTAAACAAGATGACTTTTTAAGGATTCAAAGGGAAAAGAATAAACTGAAAAATTCCCATGTGAATGCTGACATTTTCATTATATTCCCAAGAATACATTTTAAAAGATTAATAGTAACTGATAACTATTGGAGGGGTGGGGGAGGGGGAAGTGGAGGAAAGAAGGTGAAGGAATTAGCCAAAGAACATATATGCATAACCCATAGACACAGACAACAGTGTGGGGATGACCAGAAGGGAGGGGTGGGGAGGTGGGCAAAAAGGGGAAAATGGGGAGATCTGTAATAGTGTAAATAATAAAAGTAAAGTAAGAAAAAAAATAGTAAAGTTCAGCATATTTTCAATTATTTATTGGCTTTTTAAATGTTTAGTCACGTAAACTGCCCATTGATATACTTTGTACATTTCTCTATTGGTTTGTTTGTCTTTTTTTATTTGTATGCATTTATGTATTATGCATTGTAAACATCAACCCTTTGCCTGTGATACATGTTGCAAATATTTTCTCCCATTCTATTTCTTGGCATTTAAGCCTTTAATGCATTTGAAGTTTATGTTGGTGTCTGATACAAGACTGGAATCTAAACAGATCTTTCTATCTAGAAGTTAAAATTCTTTTCACAATGCTATTTGTTGAATAACTCATCTGCTTCCTATTTATCTGCAATGCTTTTTTCTTAAGTTTCATATGTGATAGGGTCCATTTCGGGATCATCTGTTGTGTTTTAGCCAATTGTTCTGTGAATTCTAACAAACAGGTGTAATTATTGTAGTGTTATTAAGTATTTTTTGGTTCATACTTTTCAAAATTGCTTAGCCATCCTCATATTTTTTACTATTTTGTAGCTGAGATTCAGAATTTTATCAAGTTAAAATATAAATATTGGCATTTAGGGAGTTTGTTGCGGTAGATGGAGGGTATGTGGTATGAATTTATATACTGCATTCATCCTTGGTGCAAATGTGTACTCGGACAGCCTCTGCAGTCAACAATACTTTCACGGTGCACTTTGAAGTCCATCCCACCTGTGGGTCTCCAAGCAAAGCAGGGCTGGCCAACACTATCTAGTAGTCATTCATTGTCTTCTGTCTGTCAGACCTGTTACTAACAATCATGTGAAGAAGTCCAGGCCCCTGCGGCTCACACCTGTCTTCTCGGCAGGTTGTTTTGCGGAACCTTCTTCTATGTGTCATCCTCTTCCACACGGTGTACTACGCGGTTCTGAGCACAGGCTGCATGGTGCTCCAGTAGGTAGCACATTGCCTTCCAACAGAATGTAAAAGCTAAGATCGACCATGAAAGGAGTTTATATTTACTACTTGACATATCTTTATGAAGTAGAGGATGCAGAATTTTTTAAATGGTGCATTTTCTTACGTTTTTTTTTTTCTTTAAGTAAAGATGAAAAATGTGCCATCTTTAAAAAGGGTTGGCTGCACACAACTACGAGAAAATGTATACTTAATGGACTCTGAGTTTAAAACAGGGAGGAATCTCAGAGATTAACTGTTTCCATTTACAGATAAGAAACGAAAGCCCAGAAGGTCAGTGACTTGCCCATGTTCACAGTTCACAACTCATTCAAGATTAAACCCAGTTCTTGTTGTTTTTATGTCCTATGCTCTTGCCATAGTATTAGGTTCTCTTCCCACATTTGATGGAAGGGACTTCCAAGGTTACAGCTGAGACCTTATATACAATGAAATACTCTTGGTGGACAATGTGGACTTAATTGGACCAAGAAGACAATGTAGATAAAGAGGTTCTCAGCCAGTTTTTAAATGTGCCACAAAATGAGTAAAGCTAACGACTTACAGCTGTATGTGAAAATGATGTGCAGAACCTTGATGTGCAAAGCTATGGACTGCCTCCTCCAGCGTAAACTATTTTCATTTGTAACATCTTCAGGGTGGATGAGTTGGATGTCTGGGCACCATTTGATTTCAAAACAAATCCTTCATGGCTCAACACAAGTTATAAAGGTAATCGGTTTTAATTTTCAATCTTTGTCAGTTAGTGAACTCAATGCCTCCAAAAATCAAAATAGTTTTTGTTTTATAAAATGTTTTTAAATGCCAGGCTTTTTTTTCTCAGCGATCTGCATCTTATACCTGACTTCAAAAATCAATGTGAAGTCCTGGCTGGTTTGGCTCAGCGGTTAGGGCGTTGGCTGACGGACCAATGAGTCGTGGGTTTGATTCCAGTCAAGGGCACCTACTGTTTGCCTGGCCCTGGTCAGGGTTGTATGGGAGGCAACCAGTTGATGTGTCTCTTTTGCATCAATGTTTCTCTCTCTCCCTCTCCCTCTCTCCCTCTCTGTGTCTCCCTCCCAACTCTATCTGAAGAAAAATGCAAAAATATCCTCCAGTGAGGATTAAAAAAAATAAAAATAAATGTGAAAAAAAATGCTATAAGGTTTTTTAAGTGGCTATTCCTAAAAGATAGAATGGTTGGACTAAGTGGATAGTATTCTTATGTAAATTTTTATTTGTTGTTATTATGGGTAAATTTTTTGTGTATTACATGTTTTTCAAAAAAAGGGAAGAATGGCTTAATGTACTGATGCAAAAAAAGTTTGTGAAATCTGAAATGGAAAATAAAGATTACAAAAGAGTTCATATTGTATAGCTATTCATTTCTGTAGAACAGAATGAAATACATGTCAGTACTAAGAAAAATGGAGAATTATTCACAGAACTGTTACCTCCCAACCGGGGCGATAGAGGTCTTTCATTTTCTGCTTCGCACATTTCGGCTTAGTTTGATTTCCTTAGTTGCAGAGAAAAAATGATAAAAAATATACTAAGAGACAAAATTCTCTTTTAAATTTATTACATTTGGAAAAATTATTATTAATAAACCTATTGTGTTCATAAATCTTATGTATGTTAATAATAATACCCATTTGTATTGAATATATGTCACACGTATTGACTTGGGGGAATTCATAGTGAGTTTGCTCTATGTTTAGAAAGGTAAGATTTTAATGTTGTTTTTCATGATAAAATAATGCAGGTAAATTAATGAAAGTGTATAAAATACATACAACTTTGGAAGACGATTTGACTTTGGGTGGGCACACAATGTAATATACAGATTATGTATCATAGAAATGTACACTTGAAACCTATATAATCTTATTAACCAATGCCATCCCAATAAATTTAATTAAAAAGACACAGCAGGCAAACATTACTGTAAAGGTAATAATGAGAAATAAAAGTATTTTTTATGATTGTTAAAAAAAGAGAGTAAATATTTTAAGCCAAAAACATAAAATAAAAGAAGAAAATCAATTCCAAATTTACTTTCTAAATATCACTCATCTTAATACTGTGTTATATTTCTTCCTACTTTTAAAAAATGGATTATGCATTCTTTAAACATTACAGTTTTTTGGAAAACCACTGGACATTTTTTTCGGAACATATATGCAAATGTACAAAAATAGCCTGAAGCCAGAGGAGGCAGATTTCAAATATGATTGTATGGGAAACTCGGTCAGCTGGAGGTACTGCATTCAAACAAAAATCTTTACAACAGCTCCCTCAAATGACTAACCTTGTTTGGTGCCATTAGCCACTTAATTTTGGATAAACAAAAGATATGTTTGGACAAGAGGCTTTTGTTCAAATGAGTCGCAAGAGGTGTAACATTCTAGCTTAACTTTCTCTTCATGCACTTTTTTTTTTTTTTCTATTGAAGATCAAATTACCTTATTTTCCACCAAGACTATCCACAAACCATAAGGAAATAGTCACAGTAAAGATTTAAATATGGTTTGTGTGTGTGCTTTGGGTAAGGGGAGAGATTTAAAACTCAACTCTTATTAGTTAATTCTTACCTTTGGGTCAGCCAGTGAAAGGGGAGACAGTGACACAGGCTTATTGGACCAGGCTGTGTTTTTACACGGCAGAGATTAGGGAAGATCCCCAGGGTGCCTGGCACAATTTACGGGGTCCTTTCCTCTCACAAAACACTAACATTTGTACACAGATATCAATAAGCCTTCAGCTTATTAGACCTTCAACTCTGGGCTTGGGGATATAAGTGCCATAACTCTTCCCAGTTGTTACTTTGGGAACCTAGACTTGTTTAATCTTGGAGATAAAATGTAAGAGTAATCACAGGGCCTTGGGCATGTATTTGGGGTCACGTTTCTCGTCTGTTTAAGTAATTTTGTCACCAAGGTGATCATGTTTAGGAAGGACATGAAAAGTGTATTGCAGAGAACAGATTGCAAATTGCTTTCATTTTAAATTAAAATCCTCTCAACAACTTTTTGAGGTAGGTAACATAGTACTCCATTTCGCAATTTAGAGAAAAGGAAACAGACTGACCCAGAGGTTAAAATCCTGCTCAAGGTCTTATAACTCTTAAGCTATAAGGCAACGCTAGAACACTGGTATCTTGACTTCAAAATTTGTACTACTTCCTTTATTTATTTATTTTCCTTATGATGTTGAGCATCTTCTCATGTGTTTATTTGCCATCTATATATTTCTTTGATGAAGTACTTGTTCAAATCTTTTTTTTTTAATTAATTTATTTTTGTTACAGATGTTTCTCCTTTTTTTCGCCATTGACATCCTCCTCCCTATCCCTCCCACCCCATCCCCAGCTTTCTTGTCCGTGTCTATTGGTTATTGCTTATATGCATGAAAGTTCTGTGGTTTATCTCTTCCCTCGCCCCCACCCCCTCTTCAGAGGGTTGTCAGTCTGTACCCTACTTCCATGTCTCTGGGTCTGCCCTATTCCTCAGACTGTTATGTTCATTATATTCTACAAATAAGTGACATCATCTGATATTTGTCTTTCTCTCCTTGGCTTGTTTCACTTAGAATAATACTCTCCAGGTCCCTCTATGTCGTCTCAAAGGATAAGAGATCTTTCTTTCTTACAGCTGCGTAGTACTCCATTGTGTATATGTACCACTGCTTTTTTATCCATTTGTCTACTGATGGACACTTGGGCTGTTTCCGCATTTTAGCTATTGTAAATAGTGCTGCTATGAACACAGAAGTAAATATACTCTTTCTGATTGGTGTTTCAGGCTTCTCAGGGTATATTCCCAGAAGTGGGACCACTGGGTCAAATGGCAATTCAATTTTCAATTTCTTGAGGTAACACCATATTATTTTCCATAGTGGCTGTACCAGTCTGCATACCCACCAGCAGTGTACTGGAGTCCCCTTTTCTCCAAACCCTCACCAACATTTTTTGTTTGATGATTTGTTGATGGCGGCCATTCTGACAGGTGTGAAGTAATACCTCATTGTAGTTTTAATTTGCATCTCTCTCAGGATTAGTGATATTGATCATTTCTTCATATGTCTCTTAGCCATTTGTATGTCCTGTTTGGAGAGGTGTCTATTTAGTTCCTCTGCCCATTTTTTAATTCAGTTCTTTGTCTTCCTTTTGTTGAGATATATGAGCACTCTATATATTTTGGAAACTAACCCCTTATCTGATGTATCACTGGCGATTATGCTCTCCCACACAGTGGATTCCCTTTCCATTTTGGTGGTTGTTTCTTTTGCTGTGCAGAAGCATTTGAGTTTGATGTAGTCCCATGTGTTCATTTTTCCCTTTGTTTCTGTTGCCTTAGGTGATGTATCAGTGAAAATTCTGTTGCATATGATGTCCAAAATTTTGTTGCCTACATTTCCTTCTAGGATTTTTATGGCTTCACGGGTCACATTTAAGTCTTTTATCCATTTTGAGATTATTTTTGTGTATGGTATAAGTTGATAGTCAAGTTTCATTTTTTTGCATGTAGCTGTCCAGTTTTCCCAACACCATTTATTAAAGAGGCTGTCTTTACTCCAGTGTATGCTCTTGCCCCCTTTTCAAATATTAATTGAGCATAATGTCTTGGGTCCATTTCTGTGTTCTCTGTTCTGTTCCACTGGTCTCTATGCCTGATCTTGTGCCAGTAACAGGATGTTTTGATTACAGTAGCTTTGTAGTATAACTGGATATCTGGTATTATGATCCCACCTACTTTGTCCTTCTTTTTCAAGATTGCTGTAGCTATTTGGGTTTTTGTTTTTGTTTTTGTTTTTGTTCCATATGAACTTTTGGAGTATTTGTTCTAGTTCTGTGAAATATGTTGGTATTTTGATGGGGATTGCATTGAATCTATAGATTGCTTTGGATAGTATGGACATTTTAATGATGTTAATTCTTCTAATCCATAAACAAGTTATGTGCTTCCACTTTTTTATATCTTCCTCTATTTTTTTTTTTTCAATGCCCTGTAGTTTTCTGCAAATAGGTTCCTTTACTTCTTTGGTTAAGTTTATTCCTAGGTATCTTAATTTTTTTCCTGTGATGGTAAATGGGATTGTTTTTTTAGTTTCTCTTTCTGTGAGTTCATCATTGGTGTATAAGAATGCCATCGATTTCTTGACATTAATGTTGTATCCTGCTACTTTGCCAAATTCATTTATTAAGTCTAGTAGATTTTTGATGGAGTCTTTAGGGTTTTCTATGTATAGTATCATGTCATCTGCGAATAATGACAGTTTCACTCCCTCCTTTCCAATTTGGATCCCTTTTTATTTTTTCTTCATGTCTGATTGCTGTGGCTAAGATTTCCAGTACTATGTTAAATAGGAGAGGCAAAAGTGGGCATCCCTGTCTTAGTCCTATTCTTAAGGGAAATGCTTTTAATTTTTGCCCATTGAGTATGATGTTGACTGTAGGTCTTTCATATATGGCCTTTATTATGTCAAGATATGATCTCTATTCCCACATTGCTGAGTGTTTTTATCAGAAATGGATGCTGGATTTTGTCGAAGGCTTTTTCAGCATCTATTGATATGATCGTGTGGTTTTTATCCTTCATTTTGAGAAGAATGTGAATTCTGAAGTTTTGGGGTGTAATTCTCTGTAGATATCTAATAAATTCATTTGGTCTAGTGCTTCATATAGAGTCTCTGTTTTCTTGCTAATTTTTTGTGTAGAGGATCTATCCAGTGATGTCAGTGGTGTGTTGAAGTCCCCTGCTATGATTGTATTGCTGTCAATTTCTCCTTTGAAGTCCTCCAAAAGATTTTTAATATATGTTGGTGCTCCTATATTGGGTGCATATATGTTTATCAAGGTTATATCTTCCTGTTGGATAGATCCTTTCAATATTATGTAGTGGCCTTTTTTGTCTCTAGTTACGGCCTTCATTTTGAAATCTATTTTATCAGATATAAGTATTGCTACCTCAGCTTTTTTTCCCTTTCTGTTTGCTTGTAAGATTTTTTTCCATGTCTTCACTTTCAACCTATGTGAGTCTTTTGTTATGAGGTGGGTCTCTTGCAAACAACATATATATGAGTCATGCTTTCTTATCCAATCAGTTACTCTGTGTCTTTTGATCAGAGCATTCAATCCATTCACATTTAAGGTAATTAGTGATATGTACTTATTTATTGCCAGTTGTGTTTAGTGTGGTTCTATTTTTTTTCCCATTTCTTCTACTTATTACAGCAGTCCTTTTAACATTTCTTGCAGTGCTGGTTTGGTACTAATGTATTCCCTTAGCCTTTTTTTTTGTCTGGGAAGCTTTTTATTTGACCTTCCATTTTGAATGATAGCCTTGCTGGGTAGAGTAGTCTTGGATTCAGATCCTTGTTTTTCATGACCTTGATTACTTCATGCCATTCCCTCCTGGCCTGTAGTGTTTCTGTTGAGAAGTCAGCTGAGAGCCTTATGGGGTTTCCTCTGTAGGTAAACTGTTGTTTATCTCTTGCTGCCTTTAGGATTCTCTTTTTGTCTTTAATTTTTGGCATTTTGATTACTGTGTGTCTCGGTGTGGGCCTGTTTGGGTTCTTCTTACTTGGGGCTCTCTGTGCTTCCTGAACTTGAATGCCTTCTTCCTGCACCAAATTTGTACTACTTTCTTTAAATCACACTTTTTCTCATATCTTGAAAAAAGCTTAAGATTTCGCTATCAATATATACAAATACGGTTTGTTCAAGATTAAAATCAGTGTCTCCGAGCAGCTGCAAGTTAAACTATAAAATCTGTAAATGGTGATAAAAAGTCATCTCTGTTTCCCTATAATAATGTGCAAGGTCTGTGAGTCACTGTGCAGGTGGGAGTGGACATGTGATGGGGTGAGGTGGTGTCAGTGACTACACTTGCTTCCACAGCCTCTGTTTTAGGGGGCAGGACATGCTGAAATAAACTGTATTTCCATATGATAGAAAACGTGCTCATATGACTTGTACAATCAACTCTTGAAACCTGTTCAGTTCAACTAAATAGAATTGAAGAGGAGTAGTATGTACGAGGCCTTTAAAAACAATGACACCTGAGACTTGCTTACTTGGTGGGTGAGTGTCTTGCTCATCCTGTGGACAATCACTGGCTCACTGGTTAATAAATTACTTCTTCATAATAGAACATAATGCAATTGTTTTATTTTTTGCTTTTAAAAAATATGGAATTTACTTGTCTAGATTGATCAATTCCTGAATTACATGAACATACCAATCGTTTGCTGTGTTTTAAAAGGAAAGAGAGCTAATGTTTATGGAAAATGATACCATTGCAAAGGGACCTTGGTGGTATATCACATCTATTTGTCACTTTAAAGTTTGATGGATCTTTTCTTTGAAACCACTGTAATCTTAAAGCTCCATATGAAAGACAGAGGCAAAAGGTTGACCCTTCACATGTTCGAGACTCTTAGAGATTTGTGGCCCTGACCTGGATGTGGTCCTGGCTCTTTATACATGTCCAGGGAAAGCACTCTGAGACAAGTGGTGGGTTTAGAAGAGTGCTCCATCCACATTAGTAATTTATGAGGCTTTCTTTCATCCATGGTTATCGGTTATGTTTCCCAGGTGACTATCTTGAATGTGCCATTTTATTACAAAGATACAAAAGAACTTATTTTTCCAAGTTAGGTAATGATTGATACCAAAGAAATGTTATAGTTCACCAAACTTTAACTTCTTTTTTTTTTTTTCTGAAAACTCAGAATTGAATTTTTCGTTAGTTTTTAATACATCTTAAAAATGAGACTTGCAATCTAATTACAGATCAGCATGCATTGGTTACACTGTAACTTTTCTTTATTGCATTTTACCTTCTAAAATGCTAAATATAAAGAATGTGAAACAGAAATTACATATTGTTATTTTTCTATAAATCTAAGGATTATTAAGAGATGGAATATATTAAACTTTTTCAAATTTGAGGATTATTAAGAGAAGGAACATTATGAAAATTTCTACCAAAATTGTTTTGCAGAATAATTTGTAATGGTCTTGTTGCAAATTGTATTTCAGAATTTTTAGTTACTCCAATCCCAAATAATTATATTCTTCTTTTTATTTGCAGTTATTTTAGTCTCAACTGAGGTAAACTACTTTGTTTGTGGATTGCTTTTCGTTCTGATTGTGGAAGGATGGGCTTGGGATTATGCTATTTCAGTAACTATTCTCCATGTTGCCATCACTTCAACTGGTAAGCAAAATACAATAAAGGAAGCAAAATGTGTTAAACCTGATGTTGCACCTAAATCGCTTCGTAAAACTTTGTTGTATGCACATTGCACCCTGATGGCTAAATAACAAAAACTGATGATGAAAGATCTTCACCCTCTCCCCTACCTATCCTTCCCACCAGGTTCTTCTACTACTTCCTCAGCAAGGTATTGCTTAGCTACCTCTTCTAGTTCAAAGCTGTACTGAAATGTAGGTGTTTCCTATTCTCCTTTCACACTCAGCTTGTTGTTAACTTGTACAGGATTTGCCTCTGTTAGGAATACTTTCCTGTGAAATCCTTCTTTAAGGCAAAAATAGACCATTGACTGGGAAGTGGAACCCAAGAGACCTGTACTTGGAGGCTTACAAACTTCCCAACACCAGTTAGTTATTTTAACAAGATTACTGGGTTCTTTGACTAAAGAACTTTTATTTCAACTTGTGATTTTTTTTTTTTTAATCCTCACCCGAGGACATTTTTCCATTTTTTTGTTCAGATAGAATAGGAGGAAGAGAGAGAGAGAGAAACATCAACGTAAAAGGGACACATCGAGTGGCTGCCACCCACACAACCCAACCAGGGCCAGGGACAAACTGCAAGCGAGTTATGCACCCTTAGCGGGAACCGAACCTGGGTCTCTCTGGACCAAAGGCCGACACTCTAACCACTGAGCCAAACCGGCCAGGGCTCAACTTGTGATTTTTCAAGTCAGAAGAAAATGGATTGAAATTCTAGTCCTACGTTTTTACCAGGTGTCTAGTCTTGGGTAAGTCACAATATTGCTTACATTAGTTGCCTCTTCTACAAAATTGGGGGTACCTAGTGAAGTTTCAGTGAGAATCAGAAATTGTTGGACACAATGTCTAGCATATAATACATTTCTGAGTAAATGACAGGTTCATTCATTCCTTCAATTCCATGGTAACTTTTTCTCCCCTGTCTTCCATTGTTTAAAAACAAACAAACAAACAAACAAACAAACAAACAAAAAAAGTGCTAGTTAAAGTATGGGTGGTAATCAACCCCAAGTTGTAATTCAAAGTTGTTATTATTTGTTAACAACTTAAATCTCTCATGTTTTCAGTGCCTTCATCTGTTAATGGTAGAGTATTTAACTTAAGAACACACAATTTCCAAATGAATTTCTACATTTCAGCATTACTGCTACTGGAAAATGCCAGTTTGTTAATACTCTAGCATTAATTTCTTGAGATACAAACCCTTTCAGTAACTTAGAGGACCACTGCACTCTTGCCATCTTAAATCTCAGTAAAACTGAGCTCAGAGTGAAGTGACTCGGAACTCCAGAGAGCGCTAGGCATTGAGGACGTGGGATGGTCTTTGAACTATCTCTGATGCATAGACTTTAAATCAACTTTGTGAGCTGACCTGAGACCTGATCATTCACATTATTTCTAGGAGAGAAGTTTCAAATATCTCACTTGACACATGAACTTTACTTCAAGTACAAATTTAGAGGTACCTGATTTCATGAATGTAAACAAAATGTATCTGTTTTATGCAGATATGATTTTACCAAACAGAAGTATTGCTTTGTGAATAACAAAATAATATATGCTTTGAAAATGAACAATACCTATTTTTTTTCTATTACAGTTATGTTGGAATTTCCCCTGACACCACATTGGTGGGCTGCCTTAGGTATTTATATAGTGTGTATATATGTTATACATGTATGTATATATAATATTAATGAAATATAAATATATATTTATATATAGACTGGTATATAAAAAATTTTTAAGTAGGTCAAGATCATGGGCTTTATCATTTTAAAATTACAGGGAATAAAACACTGGCTATATATTTGTGACATATTCTCTGAGTTCTTTTTTCCTATGAATGGCAATACAGTCTTTTTAGTTGTAAAGGAGAAATTACCTAATTTCATATCTTTTTCTCTGCCCACAAATTGAACAACTGAATTTATCAATTATGTGTCTATTAAGAATATTAACCAAGTGAAAGTGGACTTTTCTAAAGCTTTTTCTTTATGTTAAGCCAGGTATTGACCACAAAATATTTTTAGATTTCCTCTTTTCAGTAAATTTGGCATCAGTGTTTTTGTTGTTTTTTTAACCCTCACCCGAGGACATTTTTCCATTTATCTTCAGATAGAGTAGGAGGAAGGGAGAGAAACATCAATGTGAGAGAGACACATCAACTGGTTGCCTCCTGCATGACCCTGACCAGGGCCGGGGACGAACCACAACCGAGGTACGTGCCCTTGACCGGAATCGAACCCACAACTCTTTGGTCTGCGGGCCGACGCTCTAACCACTGAGCAAAACCAGCCAGAGCTGGCAACAGTTTTTATCTAATTAGTTTCATTCTTAGTGATGAAAAATGGAAATGCAGCACTTTACCACATTCTTCTCCTTAAAGTCAAGTCTCTATGTATAGTACCAGTATTACTTACATTACCACAATCTCTCTTATTTTTTTCTGGTACATGCCCCTAGTGGGAACTGAACCCAGGACTCTCTGGTCCACAGGTTGACGCTCCAGCTGCTGAGCCAAACTGGCCAGGGCATCCACAACCTCTTCACTGGAGTTTAATTCTCCACTTACCTTGCATATCGATGGTGTAAATGTATATTTTTCTCCAATATTATTAAGCACATACAGAAAAACATGTACTGATATTTTATTTTGTACAAATCTTATAAAGATATACATTTTTAATACACTAGAAAAAAATGATACTGAAAGACATGCTATAAGTGTAAGTGTAAATGATCTTTTCTCTATGAAAAACAAGAACTTATCTTTTCTGGATTTTATTTATACCACAAAATGTACTGAGCCTTAGCCAGCTAAGTCACATAACAAATGTCACCTTAATACCAAAGAGAGTAAAACTGGGTATAATGAAATGGCCAAAACAATTTGTTAAAATACTTGGGTGGCTATTTCAGTTTCAATAACCAGGGCTGGATTACTCAGAGAGCAGTTGTCAAATGATGTCAGAGGTAACCTTTGTTGGTTTTCCTTGAGTTAAACATTTAGACATAAGAAAATAATGGCTAAACATGTTGAAAATTCTATCTCTTGGTCTCACGTTGGATGTGTGTCTTTGTGTGAGGAAGCTGTGTGGGCTGGTCAGGCCTCTGACTCACTAAGGGCTCGTATCTGTACCTTTCATTGAAGTCTTACTCTTACAAGGAACGTTCACAATGTTCCATGCAAGGCGCAGTGGGTGCAATGACAGCCCAGTAAGGTTGGATTAATATTTTAAAACAAACTGGAATCAGTGGACCAATGAAATCAGAGCAAAGGCATTTTCAAACAACTAAATAGCTCAGGTAAATGGGTTTCTGGGTGTTTATTAGTCCTACGAATTTGGCAGAAGTCAGAAATAATTGCCTGTACGGGGAAGGTGTGCTGCAGAATAGAGTGTATCAAAAACATCATTTTCTTTTAAATTATTTAAGTGTTGGTTATACATCACTGAAATCATTCGTAACACCCCAAGTGTTTAGTGAACTGTAATGAAGCTTAAAGGATAGAAAAAAGGCAGACAGTAGCTTCTCATTGGTGAGAAAACAGGTATGTGGGTAATCCAGGCCTTGGTTTCAAAGTCTTTGAATTGTGAACGTTTGCTTTCTTCAGTATAGGTATTTTATAAACCCAATTATGAAGTACCTTGTTTATAGGACAAAAAGTTCTAACCAATTTTATCAAAACAAATTTCACTGTGTAAAAGCTGATTTGACTCAATGTGTAAAGAAATCAAATGTTCAAGAAGTTTGATTTATCTCCTGAAATAGAAATATTTGTTAGTGAATTCGTTGAGTTTGGAAGCCTCTCACTTCTCAGAATGATTCTGTTTTTTAGAATTCTATATTTAATAGCAATTTAAGACAACTAAGATAACATATTAGAAACATCTATAAAGATTCTACAGTTTTACATAATGGATTACTATGCGGACAAGAAATAATAGGTTTAATAATACGAAAGTTATGGCAAGACGTAAGGTGGAAAGGGTTATCTAAAAATTGGGGTTTTAGGTAGAAGTGTTTGTGCCAGACAATAAAGTGGATTTTGCTGTAAAGATGCTACTAATGGCTGGCTTGGCTGTCTGAGCACAGTGTCTCCCCATACTTAGTGACAAAGCATCGAAGGTATCTGGAAGCCAGGAAACCTCCATGTGCTCTTACTGTTGGTATTTCGTCTGGTATAAATATAACTCGGCTTGAGTGAATGTGCTTGTTGAGATCTTAATAAAAAGCTTAAGACAGGAAGATTAAAGCTGTTGGCACATGAAATAATAGCAGCTACAGAGAAAAACGGGTGACCTTGTGTTGCTATTTATTTTATGCCCTGATCAGACTAGCAACTAGATAAGTGGAAGTTTTTCTAACATGCCTTAAAAATATTATGGTTTGATCCAAAGACTCACTTTTTGTGGTTGTTGTTGTTGTTAGCTATTATGATAAGGATTTTTGTTTTTGTTTTGTCTTGTTCTGCTTTTATACAAAGGTGGCATTTGTTAAAGTTTTGGTGTTTTTTTTGTTTTTTTTTTAATGTTGCAATTGTTTGGGGTTTTTTTAAGCTGTGATAGCAGTGATAACCAATGCTTTTCACTTTGTTCAGCTTTCACAAAAGGAGCCAGTATCTGATCAAAAGTAGTGCATGAAATCTTTCTTAAACGACTGAAGGGTGCTTTGATGATTTTCTCCTTTGGTTTGTAGAATAAGAACTGAACTTAACTCAAATCGCTACAGTTGCCATCACTTTTCTGTGGTAAAATTACTGATATTTGCTGTTCTATACAAAAAGTATTGCCTAAAAATGTCTGCTGTTTGTTTTCAAGAGTTGTCCAATGGGAATATTGTCTGTTTATGTGTGAATGTGAAAGTACTTATTTTGTTTGTTGCTGTGTTTTTGTTTTTCTCAGTAGTCTTGTGTTAGCACTGAGTAACCTCCTCTCCTTAGCCATCATCAAATGTTAAAGACCATGGGGGGTCTTCTCTTTTTTTTTATTTAACATGTTACTGTGAATCTATTACATCTTTTTTTTTTTTTAATTTTTTTTCCTTTATTGATTTTAGAGGAGAGAGAGGAAGGGAAAGGAAGAGAGAGAGAGAAACATCGATGAGAGAGAACATCAATGAATCTACTACATCTTGATTAAGGTTTCAAGAATGATTGCAGTGGGTTTTGGAAGCAGACTTATCATTATTGATTTGGGGTTTCCCAGAGAAAATGTAGTTCACAGTTAATTGCTGAGCTATAACACCACTGGCCATTTAAAACTGAACAACAGTTTATTGTTTTGAAACAATGTCGATTGGCAAAACGTTGACATTCCAAGTAAAACATGAATTGTAGTAATAACTCAATACAAACTCAATAGCTGTATTTGGAGTTAAATTATTTCAACAAGTAAATTTATTTATTGGAAAAATCATCTGAGAAATATAATATTTGCTAAGTTAGTAACATGTTTTCCTTTTACAGTTAGAGAGAAAATATCTTATAAAATATTTTAAAATATCAACAACAGCAACAAAAGGCAGATTTGAAGAGCTAAAAGAAGAATTGAGAATTGTGAATTCCTTGGCATGTGTCTTGACTTCACTGCCTTTGAATTTCTGAGTTTTAAAAGCTCCTTACTATTAATTTGATAGAACCATGCACCTATTATTCCCTGAAGGAAGTTTTGAATTTCAACAATTTACTAGCCCAGAATATATACCTACTGTCTCTTAACTTTATCTATAAACTACTCCATTTCAAATGCTATGTCAGTTTTAGGAACATTATCTTAGTCATGACAATTGTTCTTATTCATAATCTCACCAATGAATTATTCATTATTGGTAGTTAACCAAAACTTCTCTTTCATTACCTGCAGGATCTGGCTTAATTTCCATGGTATGTGGAGGCCAGATTTTAGCATGCTATTTGTTCAGAGACAACTTGATCTATCCAGGGCTGGATGATTTTTAACAGAACAGCTGAATTAATTTGTCTTTAGACTTTCTATTATTATATACATTGTGTCAGAGCTAAACTGTATTTTTTGTTCATACATAAATTCAACCTATATTCAAGGTTGAATTTATTCAGGTTACTTTATAACTATGTAAAGAAAAAAAGAAGTTAATGGAGAGCAGAAGAATTCTAGTAAAGAATTCATGAGCAAAATGTTGCAAACTCATAAATGCAGTGTTTCTCAAAGAGTGTTCCATAGAATACTAGTTCTGAAGGATATTAATAGTGCCATATAAGGAAAATAAAACTTGCATTTTTAAGTGTATCTGTGGAATCGTGGATTTAAGTGAAGTAGACATTTATTTCAGGACTTCTTAAAATTTCTAACGTACTATTGTAAGCAAGGCCTCTCTAAGCAGTAGTATACCTGATGCCTGGTGTCTCAAACATATTTGACCAGGAACACACTTTAGAAAATGCCAATGTACCATGTGGAAAGTGTAACACAGAAGAAGGCAGATTCAAAACTACAGTGAATCCGTTACCAGAATGAGAGTCCCATAGCGGTTGTTTCTATGTTAGAGCGTTTCTTTTTAAATTATTGCCTCTTTTCAAAACAGTGTCTATTTCTCTCCTTAGATTAATGATCTTCTAACATAGTGCTTCTCAAAATTTAATGTACATTAGAATCACCTGGGGATCTTAGTACAATGCTGACTTTGGTTTAGAAAGGCTGGGTGGAGCCTGAAAGTCTGTATTTCTAGAAATTCCTGGATATTGCCTGTGTTGCTGGTTCGTGTTGCTACTTTGAATAGCAAGGTCTAAGTGCTTGGGACCATATGTGATTTCAGGTTGTCTAGTTCTATACCACCAACTGTACGCTTTTTATATCATTGTTTTCAATAAATGCTTGTTGGATTGGTTTACAACTGAGGTGAGTTAAATTTATGTGTCTTAACTATTTATCACTTTTTAAATACATTTAAATATCTCCTGATACTAAAGAAGTGCATTCCAGCATTACAACTAAAATATAAGCATAGGAAAAAGAACAGGAAAGTAATATATATTCCCCACCCCCAGCCCAGCCCCAAAAGCACATTCCCACACTCCTACACACAAACATTCTGGGAAACAATTAGAAACAAAACAAAACCAGCTCTAGGATTTTTTCCTGGATGACTCTTTATATCCTAAAACCTATTTTTTTCCCCATAAACATATGCATTTAACCACTAAGAAAAGTCAAGATGATTGTTTATATTCCAGTGACATTCCAAAAACTACTTTGTGTTGCTCAGTTACTGGTGAGGTCATTTAAGTTTCTCATGGACATGTGAATAATGATACCATCTCCCTCACTTCTTTTTCACATTCACTTATTCACACAAACTTATGTCTTTTATCCATTATTCTTATTCTTCCTGTTAATTTCTTCCAAAATGTTCAGTCATAGATGTGTCAAAATATGTAACTCAATTATAGCCGTCCAAGGATGTAAATTCCAATTAGTAATAAAGATTATTTTCATCTATAACAGAAGGCAACTCAGGGTAGCTCTGAACAGGTCAGCATTATGATCCTTCATTCCCCAATTAACACCCATTGACAGCACTCAGAAAAAAAGTGTCTCTTTAGAGATACAACAAAACTCAATTCTGCTCTATGAAAAATGCAAATATTGAACAAATCATGAACACACTGATGACAAAGTCTGTCCCTATAGAAACCCACACATGGAAGAAGAAATGTACAGAAACACTAAAACTGCCTGAATAAATGTGATAATTAAAAAAGATTTGGTTGATTAAGTACTTTTTAATATAATGAGAATTAAGTTGCGCTAGTAAATTAGAATAACAATCTCTCCAGACTCAGAAGACCTTAATGTCTCCTCACATTGTAGTGGAGCTTAATTAGCATGTTTATTTCTAGGATTAGGAATCCATCTGCTCAGGTAATTACTACTGTGCTAAGTCTTCTCTTTGTTTTTTTCTCCTGATCACAAGAATAATCTGTGGTTTTCTTCTTTTACTCATTAAAGTGATTATCATTATCTAATTGATGATACCCCTTGAAAAAAATTAAAAATACAATTAGGTTTCATATTTTAGCCTAAAAACCGTGTATATCAGAAATATCAACTATTATTCGCTTTAGTTTTTACTACCTAAAACTATATATAACTCAAAGGGGAAGAGTCAAACCCATTAAATTTACTTTTGTAGTGTCTCACATAGAATCATAAAGTGGTAGAATCCTACCTGCTATTTTGGTTCAAATTTTCCTATTTTTAATTCTCACCCAAGGATACTTTTCTATTTATCTTCAGATCGAATGGGAGGGAGAGAGAGAAACATCGACGTGACAGGGACACATCTACTGGTTGCCTCCCACATGACCCTGACGAGGGCCGGGGACAAACCACAACTGAGGTACGTGCCCTTGACTGGAATCGAACCCATGACTCATTGGTCAGCAGGCCGATGCTGTCCTGTGAGCCAAACCGGCCAGGGCTCAAATTTTCCTATTTTTAAAAGGTAATACTTTTATGTCATGTATAATCTGTTTGTAAGTATGCTTCAAAGTTATCCCATTGTCATCTTATAATATAAATCAATTTACATATTCCTTTAATGTTTACTGAAAAATAATTATTTTCCTAATAAACAAACAGTATTTTTACTTTTGCTGACAGTGATCCCAAAATATATATGAGGACTACTGTTATATCTGCAGTCTCCTTAGAGACTCCTATCTTAAATTTTATGGGTAAGCTGATTTACCTTAGTAGTTGAATTAAGTTCAAAAGCTATCTGGCACCGCTCTAGAGCTATAGAGATTGTCATATAGAAGTGACAGCAGCCCTGGCCGGTCTGGCTCAGCAGTTAGAGCGTCGGCCTGCAGTCCAGAGAGACCCAGGTTTGGTTTCTGCTAAGGGCACGTACCTCGGTTGCAGTTTGTCCCCGGCCCTGGTTGGGTCGTGTGGGTGGTGACCACTTTATGTGGCCCTTTCATGTTGATGTTTCTCTCTCTCTCTGTTCCTCTCTCTTCCTCCCACGCTATATGAACAAAAAATGGAAAAATGTTCTCGGGTAAGGATAAAAAATTAAAAAATAATAATAATAATAAAAAAAGAAGTGACAGCAACCCGGCCAGTGTGGCCTACTGGTTGAGTGTTGACCCATGCACCAAGAGGTCACTGGTTCGAGTCCCAGTCAGGGCACATGCCCAGGTTGTGGGCCCGATCCCCAGTGGAGGGCGTGCAATCGATGTTCTCTCCCTCTTTCCCTCTCCCTTCCTCTCTAAAAAATAATCAATAAAGAAAAAAAATTTAAGAAAATAAGTAATGCCTTCCGGTCAAGATGGCGGTATAGGTAAAGGCTGTATCACGTCCTCCCACAACCACATCAAAGTTACAACTAAACTACAGAACAACCATCATTCAAAATTGCCTGAAATCAAGCTTAATGAAGTCCTACAGCTACGGAATTAAAGCAGCAGCCACATCCAGACTGGTAGGAGGGGCGGAGGCAGAGGGGCTGGTCCCACACCCACGTGTGGCGGATAAAAATCAGGAGGACACCTCGGCTGGGAACACCAGGTGCCCCGCTCAGGGTTCCAGTGCCAGGAAGAGAGTCCCCATAACTTCTGGCTGGAAAAACCAGCGGGAACTGAGGCTCAGGGAGGCTGAGGCGGCTGGAGCCCCAGGCAGCTCCTTAAAGGGCCCGTGAACAAACTTATCGGACTCTCTCCCCCTAAGCTTGGAGGGGAGGCAGCTCGAGGGGCGCCAGAGACATACAGGGAAGAACTGAGCTGTTTGGCACTGGAGCGAGGGCTGGAGAGGGGGCTTTCCCTGGGACAAACGTGCTGTCAGAGGCCTTTGTTCCTTTGGCGAGTCCTTCCCTGGGGCGGCAGACAGTGGCCATATCTGGGACTCCAGCAACTTGGCTCACACTGGTAGCCCCACCCTGGTGATTCTCTGAGGCCCCGCCCCACCCAACTTTCAGGCCCACCCA